CATCTTCCTCCCACCCTTACCCATCGTGTAAAATAGTACTCATTTTTCCTAAAATTATATCTTTTGAGCTTTAAGAGCAGCCCTCTTATTTTTATGTTAGAATTTGCTGCAAATTTTCTATTCACTTCATTCCTACTCTTCAAGATTTTATAACTGTGATCACCCTCAACCCTCGGGCTTATTTACATTCTGAAGAGTTTGAAGTCATTGAGTCTGTCATTATAGCAAATACTTGATTCCTTTATTTGTCCCTTTTTAAATATTTTATGGCTTTTTTTTTTCTCCAAAAGTATAACAACCTGACTAGAACTGTAGAGAGAATGTAACATGCTTCTGAAAAACGGGAAGACAATATAGACAGATCCCCAAGATATACTGTGGAATGAATGAATAAAAACAAGCGGCAGTCCCATATGCATTGTAGAGGCCATTTCTATTTTTTAAATGCTCCACACTGTAAGGGTCTGTTAGGCTTCATGCTAAACTGATAACCACTCTGATCTTGGCATGTGGATTGTGGGGGAGGAAACAGTGGGGCTCTTCATTTATCCCTAGCTTGTTTCCTTTTTAGAACACTTCCCAAAACCTTTCTTGAATTATCTAGTTTAATGGAAAGGCATCAGGGTAGCCCATGAACTCCCTAAAATTGTAGGCTAAGCTTTGTGAGTCATAGCAAATGTCTACTTTTCTAGAGAGAGGGTCTGTAATTTTCTTCAGAATCTCAGAGGGAACATTTGGTCCAAAAGGGGTTAATAACCATTGGATAAGGTTGTTGTGCCACTTTCTACTCCATTTTCTCAGAGGTTAACTCAAAAAGTACATGTTATCTGAAAAACATGTCATAGTTGTTCAATTTTTAATGTTATAAAATAGTGGTATATGACTTTTACCCTATCATAAAAACCAATAGAGAAATCAATTGTTACCACGTGGTTCTGCATCATCCCCATGAATATACTTTTTAAAAATATATATTTTAATTAATTTTTAGAGGGAGAGGGAGAAAGAGAAACATTGATGTAAGAGTGGAACATCGATCGGTTGCCTCCTACACATCCCCCACCAGGATTGAGCCTGCAACCCAAGCATGTGGCCTGACCGTGAATTGAACCAGCAACCTTCCAAGTGCATGGCATAATGCCCAACCAACTGAGCCACAGTGGCCAAGGCCCCATGAATATACTTAAATTTAGCTCTTTCCTAAAATAGATGCCTGGGCCCTAGGAGGTGCCTGCATGTCCACAATGTTTTCTCTACAGCTTCCATTTGCTTTGTTTTGTACAAGACCCCCTGTAATGTGAAGGAAGAGCCAGAGGTACCTCATTTTCTTGTTCAGCATTACCCATGAGTGATGTGTCATGTGGCCTGACAGTAAAGGTCATGGGTTTGGAAACAGATCACTTATTCTTTTGGGCTCCTAAGGAATAGCTCTTCACCATATTACCTCATCTGTAGAATGGGACTAATAATGTCATCTACCCATGGCAGTCACCACTAGTTATCTCCAAATGCCCATTTCCCCCTTCTTCCTTAGTAAAGGAACCCCAATTTCTTAGCCGAGCACACTTATGCTCTGAAAACAGACCACATGACCCAGCTGTATGACTAAGTTCTGGTCAATGAGATAAAAGTGGAAATCCACTCAGTCTGGTACTTCTTTTTAAAAAGGAAAGGGTGGCCCTAACCGGTTTGGCTGGGTGGATAGAGCATTGGCCTGCAGACTGAAGGGTCCCAGGTTTGATGCCGGTCAAGGGCATGTACCTTGGTTGCTGGCACATCCCCAGTGGGGAGTGTGCAGGAGGCAGCTGATCGATGTTTCTCTCTCATCGATGTTTCTGACTCTCTATCCCTCTCCCTTCCTCTCTGTAAAAAAAATCAATAGAATATAAAAAAAAGAAAAAGGAAAGGGTGAACTTCCAGTTTCCAGTTCTGCATGTAAGGAGCTTCAAAGCTGCCACTCGGTCCTAATGACAAGTAAAAAGCTGAACAGGTAACTCTTCTTGGATTCGAAAGAGAGGAGAGGACAACGGGCAAACTGCTGCCCCCAAAACTGGAGACAGACAGGCAAATATAGGGAATTGCGGCTTACCAGAGCAGATACTCATAAGTAGAAACCACTGTGGGAACCTGTGGCAGGAAAACTTGAACTGTACTTGTCAAATTGCTGGAGGCTCAATGTGGAGAAGTCTGAGAGTTAAAAACTAGGGAGACGCACTCATAGGAAGGGCTCCCACACTTCTGTGGGTTCAGGGGTATTAGCAAAGCCTACCTGACCTGGGGAAGGGAAATATCCCAACCATTCTAGCCATCCTGTCCCAACTACCAGTAGGGGATGGGGGAGCCGGGGGAGGGGGGGCACACTGAAAACAGTTGTGAAGTTCACACTATAGCACAGGCTCACTAAAGGACTGAGACCTAATTGCAGGACTATAGAAACCTCCTCCTCCCTGCCACACCACACCATCACATTACTAAAGGTCTATTTACTGCAGTTCCTTTTCCCTAGTACGTCATGGCAAACTATCAAGAAAAAATTTTAAGGCATACTAAAAGGCAAAAATCACAGAAATGAAGAAGGCCTTTGATTGGCTTATTAGTAGACTGGACACAGCTGAGCAGCTGAAGAAAGCATCTTTAAGTTAAAGGACATACCAAGAGAATCCACAACATCAAAAAGCAAAAAGACTGAAAAAGACAGAACAGAATATGCGAGGACTAGAGGACAACTACAAAAGGTGTAACATATGCATAACAGCAAGACCAGAAGAAGAAAAAAAGAAATAGAAGAAATGTTTGAAACACAGTGACTGAGAATTTCCCCAAATTATTGTCAGATATCAAACCACAGATCTAGGAAGCTCAAAAAACACCAAGCAGGCTGAATTAAAAAAACAAACGAAAGCCAAAAAACAAAAACAAAACTACACCTCAGCACATCATTGTCAAATCAAAGATAAAGAAGAAAAAAATCCTGAAAGAAGAGGGGAAAAAAACACCTTATCTATAAGAGGACCAAAGATAAGAATTACGTGTGACTTTTCCTCAGAAATGGTGTAAGCAAGGAGAGAGTGGAGTGAAATATTTAAAGTGTTGAGAGATAAACTCCACCAACTTTGAATTCTGTGCCTTCAATATTGTCCTTCAAAAGTGAAGGAGAGCCCTGGCCAGTGTGGTTCAGTTGGTTGGAGGGTCATCTCATACACTGAAAGGTCATGGGCTCCATTCCTGATTGGAGCACGTATGAAAGGCAACCAATCATGTTTTCTCTCACATTAATGTTTCTCTTCCTCTCTCTCTCAAATCAATAATAACATATCCTTGGGTGAGTACTAAATATATATATAGTGAAGGAGAATAAGGACTTTCTCAAACAAAAATTGAATTTGTTGCCAGTAGACCTACCTTGCAAGAAATGTTTTTAAAAATTTCTTTAGAGAGGAGGAATATACGTCAGAACTCAGATCTACACAAAGAAAGGAACACTGAAGAAATAAGTAAAATAAAAATTTTTATTTTTCTTATTCTTAATTGATTTTAACAGATAACAGTTTATTCAAATAATGGCAACAATGTATTTGATTATATACACTTATGTATATATCTCTCTGTGTGTATAAACATGCTTATGTTTGCTTATATGTACGTGAAGTAAATGACAGCAATGATACAAGGGACTGGAGGAAGGAATTAGTATTATTTTGTTATTATAAAGAGTGATAGTGTTATTTGAAAGTGGACTTGGATTCATTGTAAAGATACATTGCAAACTTTAGGGCAACCACTAAAAGAAATAAAATTTATATGAGAAAAAATGGAATTCTATAAAATGTTAAATTAAAACCTCAAAAGGCAGAAAAAAAGGGATAATAAAAATAGGAAGTTGAAGGGCAACAAATAGAAAACATAGTTTTGAATGTCAATGGCCTAAATGTATCAACTAAGACAGCGATTTTCAGAGTGAATCAAAAAACATGAGCCAATTATGTTGTCTACATGAAATCCATTTTAAATATAAAGACACATATAAATTAAAAGTAAATGGATGGCGACAAAATACTATGCTAACACGAAAAAAAAAAGCAGGAATAGCTATATTAACTTCAGACAGAGCAGACTTAAAAGAAAGTTATCAGAGATAAAGGGCATCATCCTATAAAATAAAAGGTTAATATGCAAATTGACACTAACCACAGAACGACCGCTGGACCAGTCACTATGAGGCACACTGACCACCTCTTAGTCCCTTCCCCCTGGCCATCAGGCACCAATCACCCAACAGCGAACAGGGAACCGGGGGTCGGTGGAGGTGGGGGGCGGGGCAGGATGCAAGCAGCTGGGGAAGATGGCCCTGATCGCAGGCCAGGCCTAGGGACCTTACCCACGCACGAATTTTGTGCGCCAAGCCTCTAGTATGATGATAAAACGGTCAATTCTCTAAGAACATACAACAATTCTTAACGTGTATGCACCTCATGTAGTTGCTTCAAACTACATGAAGCAAAAACTGATAGAACTTCAAGAAACAGACGGTTGGAGTTTGAACATCCCTCTGTCATAAATGAACAGATCCAGCAGGCTGAAAATCAAATCAGAAAGCAAGCTATCGGACACCACACTCCAGCATAAAACCATTAGACAAAACACCAACAAAAGCAAAACAACACAAAACACATGGACAAGGCTTATTTCTCTGTAAAGCCATAGATCAGTGATGGTGATCAGAGGTGAAACGTGAACTCATTTTTTTGGTTGATTCTTCTTTGTTAAATGGCATTTAAATGTATAAAATAAATATCAAAAATATAAATCTTTGTTTTACTATGGTTGCAAGTATCAAAAAATTTCTATATGTGACACGGCACCAGAGTTAAGTTAGGGTTTTTCAAAATGCTGACACGCCGAGCTCAAAAGGTTCACCATCACTGCCATAGACCAAAGTGACAGCAGTGGTTACTTGTGAGGAGGCAGGCACCCGAGACTATGGAAATGGAGACCAGAGGTGCTCAAGGAACTTTCCTTTATTGTGTTGTTTGGATCTTTTATAATGAGAATATATTCACATCTTATTATATGATTAAAATTATTTTTTAAAGACGCTATAGACATAAACAAGAGAACAGGTGAATTTGTGGGGAGGCGGAGGAGAAACTAGAAAGTTTTTTCTACACTATATACTGACAGAGTTATTATACTGCCTTGCAAAAACACTTTTTCCAGTCTACTGATTAACATTAATGTTTAACTTACACTTCCCTGCCACTCATAAACAGTTTTAAATGAAAGTGCCTACATGTTCACAGATTAAGTATGCAACAACATATTGTTAAGTATGTTTCCTAAATGAGAAGTGAAATATACACATTTCATATTTAATGGAGACTTTATGTTAAAACTTGCTCCCTCTGTGGGATGAGGAATGAAAATATCCAGCAAATTTATGTGTAAATGCAGAGGTTAAAATTCAATGGGACCTTAAGAACAATGGGGTTCCCTCTTAGATTACAGTGAACTGATATAGACGTTTGCTTGAGGAATTGTAAACATCTTCAGATATTGGTTTACTGAACAAACTGTATTAAATACCTACTACATTATCAGGAGCTATGCTAGTCCATATACGATGCATCCTAAACAACCCTTGTCCTCAAGGAACTCAGTCTAATCTGATGATGGTGGATATTTGTGTGTGTTAGTTGCTATACTAGCAGTAGGGAAAAACTTTTAAGGTCTCACTACTCAAAGCTGCAGACCGGCAGCATTTGAATGACCTGGGGGGCAACTGTAATCCCAGCCTTAACCCCCTGCACCTGCATTTTAACAAGATCTTCAGGTGACCTGGATGTTCATCAAGATTTGAGAAGTGATGAACTGTGGGGTTATGGAAGGAGCACTATCAGTCCCTTGGGAAGTGGTCAGAGGTCTTCAGACTGTAGGGTTATAAGAACCTTTCAGGCTGAGAAAGGAGCAGGCTCAGGGTAAGAGGGCTTCTGGAAGAAAACTGGGCGAGATGGAAGATACGGGAGACAAGGCAGGAGATTAAAGATAGCTGAGGCCAGAGGCAAAAAGGCCAGGCTGACCTGCTAATTCTGGAGGAAGCTGTAGGAAAATTTAAGCAGCGATGTGACAGGATCCGATTCTTATGTTTGGACGTAACTCTGGTGGCAGAGTGGAGGATGAAATGCAGTCCAGACGATGGAGCAGACGGGCTTTGTATTCCCTTAAATGAGCAGGATTCAATTTTGGACTAGAAAGGACGTCTTGAGGACTTAGAAGTGGAGGCGGGCACTGAATCCTGTTCAACCAGACAGACAGACAATGGGTTCCAGCTGCAGGCGGATACAGGAAGGTGCTTTCTTCTCAAAGCTAGTACCCAACCAGTGGCCTGAGCATCACCTGGGAATTGTCAGAAACGCACATCCTCAGGTCCCATCGCAGAGGTACGGCGTCTGCAACTCTGGGGGGTGGGCAAACAACTCTAACTGAACGAGTTCCCTTTGAGAACCACTGCTCAGCCTGCCAAAAATCTTGTGGCAGATTGTATAGGCTTAGAATTGTCACAACTTGCTTCCTTTCTTAAAAAGAAAACAAAACAGCCCCCGGCTGGCTGGCTCACGACCTATGAACCAGGACGTCACCGTTTGATCCTGGGTCAGGGCACATGCCTGGGTTGCAGGCTCCATCCCCCAGTGTGGGGGGCGCAGGAGGCAGCCAATCAATGATTCTCTCTCCGCATTGATGTTTCTCTCCCTCTCCCTTCCTCTCTGAAATCAATAAACATTTTTTTTTTAAAAGAAAAGAAAACAAAAACATGATGAGTAATAAGAAATGAGTTTCCATGCTGAATGGTCAGAACAAAAGCCACTTAACAATCTAGATTTTTAGATAATGCCCAGAAAAAAACCACACACACACACAAAAACCCCAGACACACACACATACACTGACCATCCTGTCCAAAAGCCTCACATTTGGAGAATTAACAGTTTTGGGAGAGGTCGTGATGTTCTCAGTATCTTAAATTGAAATACGACCTAAAATAAAAGAATCAATCCAGTTTCAAATTCTTTCTGTTCCCTTTACTCCCCACAAAAACACCCTCAGAAAAAAAATGTTGGGATTCCTTCTGGCCGTCTGAAAACTGTGTTTCTGATGCAACCGCCCATAAAAAAAACCCCAAAAAACACACAATCCCAAATTTAAAGCCCCAAAAAACGGAGCAGGGGGGTTGGCGCCATCGTCCCAAGACCAGCCGGCCGTTTCCCAGCTACACCCAGCGGACCGCCGGCCTCCTTTCCCGGGCTGTTCCCAAAGATAAATAAATCACTCCCTGTTTTTTTCCAGACCTGACATTAGCGGTGACTCAGAGCACTCGGTATGGCCACAGTCGCCTCCGGAAGGAGGGAAAATGTGCAGATTTTTTTCCTTAGACGAGGGCCCAACGTGCCGGGCTGGGCCAATCAGGGGAGGATGGCGGGAATCGCACCAAAGTAGGTAAAATATGCAGGATGCGTGCCCCTCCGCCGCCGCCCGCGCCTCGGCTCCCGCCTGGCCTCGCGAC